ATTATTACGAGTCTCCGACAAACACGTAATAGTAGGATTATAAACACGTACGAGGCCCTCCAAATCTTGGATTGTCAAGGTCGGACCAAAGCCTCGACAATTCCATGCTAAGATCGTCATTCTGCAACGTGGGGCCGCTCACTGCCGGCTTCCACCACAGTTTCCAGATGATCAGCAAATCAGCGCCCCAAATGAGTAATACAGAATTGGGGAGGAAGGGCAGACATATACACCAAGAAAGAAACACTGGCTAATTCACGAAGCAGACCCGCATCGATTGGCCTCCATGGCTTGAGGCGAAGAACGAAGTCTTTGCAGTCCAGGGTGACTGACGAATAATGCGCTCTCGCATTTGATCATCAACCACAATGAAATGCCAGAAACCGTCTCAGCCTCATAAACAATGATCTAATTCTCCGCAGTACCCCACATGCCGTTTGCCACCTGATTCATTAACTGTTGGGACATCGGATTCGGAGACAAAAGCCTGCCTACCAAACTGAACTGTGCTGCACTGGTCCAATGTCGACATCAGCATCCTCAAACGCCACCACCTGATCGATGTCCATGGGATCCATTGATGCTACCAACCGACGAGCAGACTGGGTGGAAAACCAATTGAAGAACCAGATGAGCACTAGAGAGAGACAAGAACAAATGGAAACTCCCAGATAATGAAACATGCAAAGCGCACGAACAGTTGAGAGTTGAACAAAATGAACTCCTCCTTGGAAACCTCTTGATTCCGAAAAGGAGTAAAGTCAAACTTTTGCGCGAGGGAAACCTGCGGCTGCTTGGAACCCCATATTCCCACTAGAAATCATAGTTCCTCAGATCCCGGCGCCGTGGAAACGGCGGCTACGATAATATCGGCAACTTCGCGATCGACACTGGAAACCCAATCGCCAGAGCGTCGCATTTTTTTTTCAATTGCATCAACTAAAGTGGTGGTTTTAGAGAGAGTACTGGCCCGTAGACCCAAACAGCCATGGGGCTGAAAGCTTATTTAAAGCAATAGAATGACCACAAGTGAAAGGCCTCGTCCAGGTGTCCTAGGATTCAATATAAAAGGATCAAAAGCCCATATTAAACTTCAGCCAATCCTACAAGCCAGATCTGGGCCCAAAAATTCCAGACGCTACTCAAACGCCCAGAATCAGTGCTGTACAGCAAAATCAAGTCCTCATTTGCGGGAATGGATCGGGTCAGTAACCTTATGGTGATTGGTGAGTAACCATGAGTGGATATCATTTTGAAGAGCACAATTAATCTGATCTAACTGTGCAAAAAAAAATTAAATTTTGACTTAAAACGAGTGAGAAATCGTTCGTCAAAGATTAAGGAGGGGAAAATTAAAGGCTTTCCAGGAGAGAGAGGGACGTTGATGTCATGCTGATGTGGACTGGTTACTCATGGTTACTCACCAATCACCATAAGGTTACTGACCCGATCCATTCCCGCAAATGAGGACTTGATTTTGCTGTACAGCACTGATTCTGGGCGTTTGAGTAGCGTCTGGAATTTTTGGGCCCAGATCTGGCTTGTAGGATTGGCTGAAGTTTAATATGGGCTTTTGATCCTTTTATATTGAATCCTAGGACACCTGGACGAGGCCTTTCACTTGTGGTCATTCTATTGCTTTAAATAAGCTTTCAGCCCCATGGCTGTTTGGGTCTACGGGCCAGTACTCTCTCTAAAACCACCACTTTAGTTGATGCAATTGAAAAAAAATGCGACGCTCTGGCGATTGGGTTTCCAGTGTCGATCGCGAAGTTGCCGAGATTATCGTAGCCGCCGTTTCCACGGCGCCGGGATCTGAGGAACTATGATTTCTAGTGGGAATATGGGGTTCCAAGCAGCCGCAGGTTTCCCTCGCGCAAAAGTTTGAATTTACTCCTTCTTTTCGGAATCAAGAGGTTTCCAAGGAGGAGTTCATTTTGTTCAACTCTCAACTGTTCGTGCGCTTAGTTTGCATGTTTCATTATCTGGGAGTTTCCATATGTTCTTGTCTCTCTCTAGTGCTCATCTGGTTCTTCAATTGGTTTTCCACCCAGTCTGCTCGTCGGTTGGTAGCATCAATGGATCCCATGGACATCGATCAGGTGGTGGCGTTTGAGGATGCTGATGTTGACATTGGACCAGTGCAGGCACAGTTCAGTTTGGTAGGCAGGCTTTTGTCTCCGAATCTGATGTCCCAACAGTTAATGAATCAGGTGGCAAATGGCATGTGGGGTACTGCGGAGAATCAGATCATTGTTTATGAGGCTGAGACGGTTTCTGGCGTTTCATTGTGGTTGACGATCAAATGCGAGAGCGCATTATTCGTCGGTCACCCTGGACTGTCAAAGACTTCGTTCTTCGCCTCAAGCCATGGAGGCCAATCGATGCGGCTCTGCTTCGTGAATTAGCCAGTGTTTCTTTCTTGGTGTATATATCAGCCATTCCTCCCCAATTCTGTAGTACTCATTTGGGGCGCCGATTTGCTGATCATCTGGGAACTGTGGTGGAAGCCGGCAGTGAGCGGCCCCACGTTGCAGAATGACGATCTTAGCATGGAATTGTCGAGGCTTGGGTCCGACCTTGACAATCCAAGCTTTGTAGGGCCTCGTACGTGTTTATAATCCTACTATTACGTGTTTGTCGGAGACTCGTAATAATCATTCTTATGTTGAAAGTGTAGTTCGTTCCTTAGGATATGTTGATTGTAGTGTGGCTGATCTGATTGGTACTTCCGACGGCCTTGTTGTTGCTTGCGGATCGGATGTTTCTATTTCTATGCTTTGTAAAGACTATTTTTACATTTCTCTGCAGCTCTGTGTTCATGATATAAGATGTGTGCTTGTGTTTGTGTATTTATCATGTGATGGTATCCTTCGTCGCCAACAACTGTCCAATTTATCTAGGTACTGTTCTTTGCTTGTGGTTCCTTTTGTGGTTGTTGGAGACTTCAATGATCTTCTTAGCTCTTCAGAGAAACTAGGTGGGCGTGATTTTGATCCCCATAGATCTCTTCCTTTTCGCACTTTTGTTGACGACTTAGGCTTGATGGACATTGGGTTTTCGGGTCCGAGGTTCACTTGGTGCAATCGTCACTCTGATGATACGGTGATTTACAGTCGACTGGATAGATTCCTTTTTTCAGGATCATGGGTGAATTCATGGCCACATGATAGAGTTGAACATCTTTCAGATGAAGGAAGTGATCATCGAGCTCTCCTTTTCAAATGGACAGCTGAGCGGGGCTATGGAAAATCTGTTTTCATGTTTGATGCCCATTGGCGGGATAGCGATGAAGCTACATCTATTGTCTCCGACATCTGGTCTTCTCAGGTAAATGGTTCTCCTTGCTTTCAACTTTAGTCCTGGATGAAGCCCGCCCGACACCGCCTATTCCAATGGGCCAAAAGAGGTACAACCAATTCTGCCCGCCGGATTAGAGCACTTCGCAACGAATCTGCTCAAGTTAGGAATCATTATCCAGTCAATTGGGAGGAGCTGAGTCGGGTTGAGAAAGAGTTGTCCTCGGCTTGGGCGGCTAAAGAGCTGTACTGGAAGCAACGTTCCAGGGTTCAATGGCTTCAACGTGGGGATCGGAACACAAACTATTTCCATACAGTTACTAGAGCTCGCAGACGATGCAATCGGATCCATGGTGTGTTTAATCAAGAGGGTGTTTGGGTTACGGATGAGACGGGAAAACAGCAAGTGGCCATTTATTATTATGTAGATCTTTTCAATTCAGATAAGAAAGATTCCTATTTTGCCGCAAGGGTTCAAGCTCGGGTTGATGCTCTGCCTCTTCATTCTTTTGTTACTGCCGACATGAATGCCCGATTAACTTCAACGAGCACTCCGACAGAGATAAAAGCAGTGGTTTTTCAAATGGGAGAGTTAAAAACACCGGGTTCAGATGGTTTTACGTGATGCTTCTTCCGCTCCTTCTGGCATATTGTTGGCGACAGTGTCATTAAAGCTATTTCCTCTTTCTTCCAGACCAGTAAGCTTCTTCGCAACATGAATCATACGTGGTTAACTCTGATTCCAAAGGTGGACTTGGTGGAACATGTGTCTCAGCTTCGACCTATCAATCTTTGCAAGTTCCTTTACAAGGTAATTACTAAGATCTTGCTTCTCGCCTAGGGTCTTTATTACCTTCTTTAGTTTCTCCGGAACAGAATGATTTTGTTCAGGAGAGCCAAATTGTTGACAATGTGCTGGTAGCTCATCAAGAATAAGCATACTGGTCGTGAGAAATTGATGGCGTTAAAACTAGATATGGAGAAGGGTTATGATCGAATTGAATGACCGTATCTGATTGCCCTACTTCACAAATTAGGATTCTCTCCAATTTGGATTGATTGGGTTCAGGAGTGTGTTACTATAGCCACTTTCTCTGTTATGGTGAATGGTCAACCCTCGGGTTATTTTGCTTCTTCTCGCGGACTGCGTTAGGAGGATCCCCTCTCCCCTTTGCTCTTTGCTTTGTGTTCTGAAGGGTTTACGGCAATGATTTAAGTCAGCTATCCACCAACATGAGCTTCATGGTGTCTGTTTGAATCCTCGATGTCCCCAGGTATCTCACTTATTGTTTGCAAATGATTCCTTTTTGTTCTTGCGGGCATCAAGAAGAGACAATTCTCATCTCCTTCGGGTGTTTAGGGAGTATGAAGATATTAGTGGTCAATGGGTTAATCTTCATAAGTCAGCTTTTTATTTTAGCCCAAACTTGAGTCAGACTGAACAGGAGGATATAGGATCTTTCTTGGGTGTGGGCTCGATTGGATTGCAGGATCGTTATCTGGGTCTTCCCTCTCTTCTTGGTCGGTCTAAAGTAGAGACTTTTCGATTTGTGGAAGAAAAGTTACTATCAGTTTTACAAGGTTGGAAGCAAAGAACTCTCTCTGTAGCTGCTAAAGAAGTTCTCAAATCCGTGGCATCTGCTCTACCCATATACATTATGTCCTGTTTCAAGCTACCGGCAGAGTTGATTCGGCGATTGAATGCTCACTTGGCTCGTTTCTGGTGGGGTGCTACTGATGGACAACGCCGCATTCACTGAAGATCGTGGAAAGTACTTTGCGCCAGTAATCATGATGGTGGCCTCGGCTTTAGGGAATTTGGGGATTTTAATCAAGCTTTACTTGCGAAGGTGGCTTGGCGTCTGGTTTCTGATCCCACTACCCTCTTGGTGCGGTTGTATCGTGCCCGATACTTTCGTACTGGGCATTCCATCCTTGAGGCTTCGCTCGGTTAATCTCCTTCATATGGCTGGCGGAGTGTTCTTTTTGGAAGGGATCTTCTCCTCCAAGGAGTCCGGTGGAAAGTTGGTAATAGCTTCTCTATCAGGGCAACCACAGATCCATGGCTTCCAACAACACCCCCTTCTCGGCCTATACTTCGGCAAGGATCTCCTATTGCAAGCCCTTTCGTATCCGCTTTCATTGATCCTGGATCCAAAAGATGGAATGAGGCAATGTTGCGGTTGTTCTTCGTTGAAGATTCGATCCGCATCATTCAAGGCATTCCGCTCTCGCATCGGTCGATTTCGGATGCTCTGATTTGGCATTATGATCCCTCCGGTGCTTTCACAGTGAAGTCTGCTTACCATATTGCTATTCAATCTCATCGTCCACCTCCAGCAAAGCCTAATGCGCCTGTTATGGATCGTTCTCTATGGTTATGGGTTTGGAATTTGAAGGTACCCCTAAGCTTCAATATTTTATTTGGCAATGTTTACATCGTATTCTTCCGACTCGGGAAGCTTTGGTGGTTCGAGGGATGGATATAATTTCCATCTGTCCGGTTTGTGGTAGAAAGGAAGAAACGATAGAACATCTTTTCTTTTCTTGTTTCTTGGCTAAGAAATTTTGGCGTTTAACGGGGTTTCATGATTATTGGAAAAAATGGGAAAACCGTTCATTTGCAGGCTTTATTCGGTTTGCCTTAAGCAATGAACAGGCTCCGGGTGGGGATTATTTGATTTTGCAGGTCATTTGTCTTCTTTGGAGGCTGTGGAAGAACCGTTGCACTAGTGTTTTCCAACATAAGCAGTTATGACTTGACATCCTTGCTCATCAATGGTGCCACCAGGTTAAAGAGGTGGAGAATGCTCTCTTGCTGCCGAATGCTCTTACCCCTCCCTTGTTGGGTACTGTGCATCAGAGTTACAATGAGAGGTCCCCATCCATTTTCTTTGATGGAGCCACGAAGGGAGCTTTTGGGACTGCTGCTTTTGTATTCCTTATTGCGACGGGAGATTTGGTAGCAGCTGAAGCTTCACGTTATGCTAACATTCATGATGCATATGTGATGGAATCATATTTTCACATGTTTTCACCTTTGTTTCCTGACCATTTTAGCTCGAATTTGTTGTTCCTTGGCCTATTTTACGCTAGGTTGTGTTGTTTTGGCGTATTTAAGGTCCTAGCAAGTAAAGAAGTGCATAGGCGCAAGTTTCAGGTCATTTGGAGGCCGGATTGCGCTTTAAAGGGAAAATTACGGGCAACCCCTAAACAATTACGGTCGTAATTTTCCCTGGCATGCCCGTAATTTCAATGCCGAGCCTAATTTCCAGAATTCCTGTCGCATAGTCAATTACGGGCAAGAGTCACTTTAATTACGATCGTAATTCAGTAATTACTCGCGGTAATTGGAAAAATACGACCGTAAATCCTGTCTTCCGAGTCAAGTGAAATGCGTGTTTTGGGCAATTACGGGCAGACCACAATTACGGTCGTAATTCTGCCCGTAATTCCCCCATAATCGGGTTTTTGAGGCAGATTCGAGCCAAAATAGAGGGGGTCGACTTTTTGGAGCAAAAACAGAGTTTGAGAGAGAGAAAGTGCAAAGAACAAACCCTTTGAGCTATTTGGAGTGGATTTCTCACCATTGAAGCCCAGATTGCGTCCCCAGGAGTGAAGATTGACAACCCAGAGCAGATTTTCCTCATCTTTATGAGTATGACTACTCTGATTTCTGTTTTCCTCTCTCTCTCTCTATGGAGTAGAACCCTTCTCTCACTTGCGTATGAAGAACCCTAGTTCCATGTGTTAGGGATTTGATTGTAATGACTTGGGATGATTATACTGTTTGGTTTTAATCGAATGATGCATGTTTCATTGAATTGATTGAAGTCTGATTAGCTTTTCTTGATTTCTGCTGCAACCTGAGGTAGATAGAATCTGATTAGGTTGTTAGAGCCTCTTCATTCGGTAGTAGTAGATTGGCTATACGAGAGTTAGTCTGTCTACTGCTTTGTACTGGAATCAAATTCCAGTAGTGGAGTTGTGTGCTTATTGCTTCAGCTTTCTATCCCGGTGAAGACTAGTCGTCTGCCGGGTAGTTAGACAGAGAGGGCTTGGTCAGCTTAAGAGATTCCAAGCTACTGTCGGATCTTCCGCAGTCTAATCAACAGTAAATCAACCCAGGGTAATTACAACTGAGACCTAACTAAGGAGCTAGGGGGACTCATTCCCTAGTGACTCTTCCTTTGCTTGAGAAAACCGAACCAATTCCTGCTTTCTTTCTGCTTTTAGTTAAAACAACAATCTCTTGCCTTAGTTTGCTAGATAATAGATAATCACGGAGTAGGCAGTAGATCTAGACCCCGGGTTGATAATTAGACTTGCCATTTTACTGCATTCCTGATCTGCAATTACACTTGGTCGCAGTTTGGTGTTGTGTTTTAGCGTGTCAAGTTTTTGGCGCCGTTGCCGGGGAACCCTCTAGGTTATTGGGGAAACGTGAAAATTTGTTATTCTAGCTTTTTCTTTATTGCATTTTATCTCTTCCACCTGTGTGCCTTCACGGGTTGCTTTTGCTGGCTGTGTGCATGACCCGTAGCCAGTCGGGAGAACTACTACCATTAGACCAGGAGCTTGAACGGACTTGTAGGAACTTCAAGCGGGCTCTAAAGGCGCGACTAGCTACGAAGGAGGCGCTAGAACCGCTGCAAATCGCCGACGAAAAAGAGATGGCTGATCCACAGGACCATGATGTGGTCATCCCGGAAGAGCAGATCATGGGATACTACTGGGCCGCCAGTGCTGCGGACATGAGGTCACCCATTCAGCATTCTCATGTGCCAGCGAACAACTTTGAGGTGAGCACCTTGGTCATCACGATGCTGCGCGGTTCGGTGGTGTTCCGTGGCAAAGAGGGGGAGTGCCCCCGGTCACATCTGAGGCGATTCCACGAGCTGATTGATGGAATCAAGATTAATGGGGTCCCAGCAGATGCCATCCAGCTGAGGTACTTCCCATTCACCCTGGAGGGGCAAGCCAAGGAGTGGCTAGACACTCGACGTCCAGGCTCTATCACCACGTTCGCCAACCTGGCGGACAAGTTCCTCACCCGCTACCATCCTCCGTCCAAGACGGCGGACTTGCAGAAGCAGATTACCCATTTTGCTCAGGATGAAGACGAGACCATCCGGGACGCTTGGGAGAGATACACCAGTCTCTTCCTCAAGTGTCCCAACCATGGTTTTACTGACGCCTTCAAGGTGGGAACCTTCTACCATGCCCTCTTCCCGGAGGACAAGCAGCTGATTGATTCGGTCGGTGGCGGGAATATGCTCACCAAAACACCGCCATAGCTGAATCAACTTTTTGAAGAGATGGCAGAGCAGGGCTATGATTGGGAACTTCCAGGATATCGAGAAGAGCACCAGGGCGGGGTGTGCATGATGTCGCCACCCAGTCATCTGATTTGGTGCAGGTGGCATCAAAGCTGGTTTCAGCCATCGACCGCTCTGGAATGATTGCATGTACAGGACAGCCGCAGGCGATGCACTGCCTGTGGTGTGAGAGCTCCCATCACACTGTGGAGTCGTCTACTCCCCAGGAGCAGGTGCACTTCATCGGTAATGCCAGGCGCTTCGACCCCTACAGCAACACTTACAACGAGAGGTGGCGCCAGCATCCTAACTTCTCCTAGGGTGGGGCAAATCCCAGACGACCAGTTCCCCAGGGACCACCTGGCTTCCAGAGGCCTCCTTACTAGCCCAGACAAGGGCAATTTCAGCAGCCGCAACAACCTCTCTACCCGCCCAGACAGGGGCTAGTTCCACCTCAGTCACATGTGCGACCATTTCATCATACAGGGGCAACACCTGCAACCCTAGTACAGAGTGACCCGATGGCGGAATTGAGAGATTTGGTGGGTTCTCTGGCCACCTCCAGTGCAAACAAGTTCAATAACATCGAGCAGTTCATGGAGAAAGCTTCAGGTAAATTCTTGGAGCTAGAAGCTGGTCAGAGAAACACACAGGCTGTGCTGCGAGATATACAGACCCAGCTTGGGAGTGTTGCCCAGGCTGTAGCTCAGAGGACTCTGGTACTCTACCTGGTCAGACCATCCCTCATCCGCAGTACCCAAATGAGCACTGCAAGGCCATCACTACTAGGAGTGGCAAGGTGACTGCCGATCCACCTGTTCGGGCAGAAGAGAGAGAGACCCCTGCTTCAGCACTTCCACCTAATGAAGAGGAAATGGAGAAGGAGGTTGAGGTGCCTGCTCCTAAACCACAACTAGTGGTGAAGGAGTATGTACCCCAGCTCCCCTTTCCTACTCGGTTGCACAAGGACCGACTGGAGACTGAGTTTGCCAAGTTCATGGCAATGCTAAAGCAGGTGAATATAAGCATGCCCTTCGTGGAGGCATTATCGAAGATGCCCAAGTATGCCAAGTTCATGAAAGATCTCATCACCAACAAGAGGAAGCTTGGGGAGCTATCAACGGTGATGCTCAATGAGGAGTGTTCTGCCATTCTGCAGAACAAACTACCAGAGAAGCCAAAAGACCCAGGGAGTTTCACTATCCCTTGCATGATTAGTAGTTTGCACATAGGAAAGTCCTTGGCGGATTTAGGCGCTAGCATAAATGTCATGCCATATAAACTACTTAAAAAGCTAGGCCTAGGTGAACCCAGTGATACTAGGATGAGCATTCAACTTGCTGATAGATCCATTGTGCATCCTAGGGGCATTGCAGAGGACTTGATAGTCGCAGTAGGGCCATTCTCTTATCCTGTTGATTTTGTGATTTTAGACATAAATGAGGATGTGGATGTGCCATTGATATTGGGTAGACCTTTTCTCGCCACCGCCAAGGCGCTCATTGATGTGAATGATGGGAAACTGATTTTGCGAGCTGGGGGTGAACAAATCACCTTCTCTGTTTCTGATAATATGAAACACCCCCAGCTCCATAATGATCTAGATTACTGTGATGTCGTTGCTGATTTTGAGACCGCACTCACCATCATGAGTGCGGGTACCGATGATTTCCTTGAGAGTTGTCTTTTGCTAGGGGAACAGGCATCACAGGACGTGCAGCTCGCGTAGCTAGACGAGGCCGCGATCGAGGGGCGAGAGATACCATTCAAGCCGATCCCTATCTCGCCCTGGATCACTACATCATTGGAGGAGACACCAGAGCTGGAGCTTAAGCCCCTCCCCTCTCACCTGGAGTATGCATTTCTCTGGGAGGGGAATAAGCTCCCGGTCATTATTAGCTCGGATCTGACACCCGAGCAGAAGAGCAGGCTGGTGGCTCT